ACACACTAACTTGGAAAAAAATGAAGGAACTAGAGAATATGAATGGAAACGTTGCTTGATAATGCAAGTACTTGACATGTATGTTCTAAGGATGCCACAGTTACTCTATAATCATCATGATGGCTTTGATCCACAATTTTTATAGTACCCACAGTCAGTCCCAGCTTCACAGATTACTAAAACAAATCACTTCACTATAAAAAAATTGACTTTTGGCGGCGACCCAAAAGTCCAAAAGTTGCTGCTAAAAGTTTTTAGCGACGACTTTCCACTGCTAAAAATCATCACTATAACAACCGTCGCTAATAGTTTATTTGTCACCGCCAAAAATATACTTTTAGCAGTGACAAATGTCACCGCCAAACGTCTTTTTAGCGGCAACAAATGTTGCCACCAAAACTTTTTTTTAAGAAATAATAATTTATTTTATGCCACATCACTCTGCCACGTATGTATTAAGTGATGCCACGTCACCTACCATATATGCAATAGATTATGCCACGTCACAGTCCATCTGTTCAACAGATAATGCCACATCACCTAACCATCTCATGCCATGTCACATGACACATGTGCACTTCCTCAAGCCACCTCATGTACCACGCCACCATCTCATGCCACGTCACTTGCCTTCTCAAACAACCTCACGTGCCACATCATCACCACGCACCACGTCACATATTTGTTGTGAAATATAACAAAGTCAAGATTTGAACTCTTGACCTCTCTCTCCTCCAAGCCTTAAGCCTCATTTTCTTGCCAGTTGAACTGAAATGTACTTGCAGTTATTATACGCGAAATTAAATATATATTATGTAACTGCATACACATATATCAAATAATATATGATTAAAAAGATATACATATATTATATTTTATTTTCAATTATTAATATGAAAAAATGATTTATATGAATATTAATTTATAATTTTAATAAAATATTATTTTTTACCAATAAATATTATTTTTTTAGGAAAATGAACTTAAAATAAACAATTTTTAAATATTAAAATAATATTCTTATATATATTGTAATAAATTTTTAAATTATATTTTTATTTTTTAGATAAAAATTATTAAGTATATAATTTATTTATAAATATGTATTATATTATTTTATGTTAAATATCTTATACTTTTTTCTTCTCCATATTTTTCTCAAAAATTGGTAAACTAAATGATTAAATTTTTATCTTCTCTCAAAATAGCTAAATATTTGCCCCTCTTTTAATAAAAATATATTTTATAGATAATTTTTCAATATCTTAAAAATTATTTTAATAAAAAATTAATTTTAACCAGATAAATTTTGTTAATAGTCATTTTAAATAATTTTAAAATTGAATACTAATAACTTTTGCAATATATGATAATTACAAAAATCTCTGTGTAATCAATCTAGTTAACATCTAATCATCTTTAATCTTATAGAAAGGTGAATTTGAGTAGTTATTCATATTATTCTTAGTAATAATTAGTTATAAAATGTTATTATAGCAATAAAAACCTAAATATACTAGGAGGAATTACATGAAATCCTTATCCAAAAGTTATTAGAGCTCAGTAGAAAAAGTAAATACTATATGTATATCAAACTAAGCATAAAGTGTGAAATATGCTAAGTAGTCTATAATATCATTAACATCTCACGATGTTTGTACAACTTTAACTTTCTAATGCCATTTATGTATTTGATTATAAGTAATAATTTATGTATAACTTAACCTAATTATAATTGAAGTAATAACCCATTAAGATTTAAATTTATCATATTAAAATACTAGCTTAATAACATAATTATTAAAAAAATATGAGCTATATATGTCTAAAAAATGATTATGAATAATATAAAATTAAAAAAATTTAATAATTAAACTTAGCACACTTTAACTATTATTTTTTTATTTCACGTTTCTATATATAATTTATTTCTAATTCTATACATAAAATAAGAAATTTAATTTCATAAATATATTTTGAATAATTTTATTTAATTATTTTTTAATTTTAAATTATTTTTTATAAACATACTTTTGGTGGCGACAATTTGTCACCGCCAAAAATAAATTATATTAATTATTTTTAAATTTTTAAATTATTTTCTATAAAAATGCTTTTGGTGGCAACAAATGTCCGCCAAAAGTAAATTATATTAATTATTTTTAATTTTTAATTTATTTTTTATGAAAATATTTTTGGTGGCGACAAAAAGTCGCCGCCAAAAATGAACTTTTAGCAACAACAAATTAAAGTCCCCGCTAAAAATGACTTTTGACGATAAGTTTAATTTGTTGTTGTTAAAAATATAGTTTTGGTGGCAACTTTTAATAGCGACATTTGTCGTTATTAAAAATTATCGCCAAAAATAATATTTTTTGTAGTGCTTCTATATACTACCGAACACAAATGCCAAGAGGCGATCATTTTGAGCACATGATTTCAGTTGTAAAATTTCTAACGGCATTATGTTATCATATATTAAAAATATGGAGATATATAAATGTTAAAAAAGAGATATAAAATTTTTTAAAAAAATTACATAATGAAGAAAATGGAAAGGAGATGAGGGGGTCAATGGCTGAATGTCCTATATAAGAATTGATGAGCAAGGACGATGGAAAGGAGTAGTTCGGTGACCGCTAAGGAGCTTCATAATGACATTCACACCAGGGGGAGACGGCGTCAGAGACTTGAGCCACTGCAAAGGAGGCTTTGGTGACGGCTTCTGGGTGTCCAGATTTGGGATCTTCGACTCCAAAACATTCAGATCTGAAACAGACATGAAAGGAGACAGAGTTGGCTTGCACGGACGGCGGCAGAGGACGAGCTTGCGTGGATGGAGGCAGCGGCAGACGAACGTTAAGTAGGCGAAGGGCTAGAAGGCGCGGTGAGGAGAGAGCTGAGAGGGGGGATGCATGGGCTAGTATCAAATGGGGGTGGGGGGTTAAGATATAATGTGGGACATATTGGCCTTGCTTTTTAATTTGAAATATTTTTAATTTCTGGTACGATGGGGCTCATACTAATCAACCAATCACATTTTTAATACATCATATATTACTTTTAAATTACAAATTTTAATGAATAAAAAGGTACAGTGGGACCCATGCTCAGGCAAGTTGAAATTGCTAAGTGATTTTCCTTATTTTTATGTCCATCTTTCTTATTTCACAATCATTCTTCCATTTTTTTTTTTTTTGTGTATATCTTCCATGTCTTCAAAAATAATTTTCAAGAAATTTCATAAAATTCCAAAGTATTCATCTTTATTGCCTTAATATTCCTTATTTTGCAAATACTTTTCCATAATTTTTTGTGTAGTATCTTCCATGTCATAAAAAAAGAGTCTCGTAAATATATTATAAAATTTTTCATGAACAATAATTTGCAAGTCGTTTTCATTATTCTGCAAGTGGTTTCACATGAGGAAAATTTATAACCATAGAGAAATTAAAACATATATGCAGAATAAACAACATAGATTGCAAAATGCCAGAACATGAAATAAAAGTTGCACAATTTGACCTTCGATGTACATAGAAGACCAACTACAATATAGAAGAAGGTGCATACTTCTCCCATCCTATTTACAAAACACAGAAAAATATGTGTTGGTCTTATTTATACAGCACTTTAATTATTATTATAATTATTTTTATTTTTTAATCCTATTAAATGTTAGAAATGTTATTATATTAAATATTAGAGTATTTTATTTTAAAGTATTTATATTTAATAGGGATATAGTTTTAAACTTGTTGAATTTTTAAGATTTTTTTTGGATCTAGTAAAAATATTAAAAATAATTTATAAATAAGATTAGAGATGATGCTGTGGAAGATATAGTAAATTGCAAAAAATCGAAGTTGCAAGATATTTAATTAGCTTTCCTTTGCCCAAAAAAAAAAAATTAATTAGCTTCTTCCAACTTCGCCACTTTGCAACTAAAAACCATGGAAGAAAACGTGTATAGTCAGAAAGTGGGCTTGCACAGTGAATATACTAGTCATAATTTATAAAATGTATAGTTTCTAAAATATTCCATTACTATTATATATTTAATTAAGAAATCACTTTTATAGTTAATAAATTTTCAAGAAGCAACATATGGTTTGCAAGCCTCCCACTTACAATATTTGAAACATCCCAATCTTAACAAAATGCTAGATGGATACACGCAAAATCAACAATTGATTTTATTTAAATTTAAAGAAGAATAATAAAGAAGTCTCAAAAAATAAATTAATTAATAACAATTAAATTTTTGATAAATTTTTTTAAATAAGTTACAAATATCGATACAAATAATTATAAATAAGACATTTATTTAAGTTGTATATGTAACTTTTGATTTTTTTATTAGAATTCTTATTTGTAGCTATTTGAATTAATATTTGTCGCTCATTTGTCAAAATTTTTATTGAGGACATAAATATTATTAATTAATTCTATACTTTGAGTTTTTAATATCATTCTCCCTATATCTAAGCCAACTTTATATCCAACTACATATAACATTTTGCACGTTAAAATAATAAGTATATACCACTTGATGTCCATAATTGAACAAGATACGTACACACTAAATGCACAAAAATATTATGTGCTTATTGTATGCATTACAAGCAAACCCATTCTTACTATGTTTATTGAGAAACATGTATATCAATATTTGCGTCATATCCTTTAGTGAGAATAACATTAAAATTCCTAAACAATGAATTTATGATAGTTAAGTCCTTGACAAAAATTTTTCTAAAATCAATTGTAAATATTAATTCAGACAATTGCAAATATAATAATTTTAATTGCAAATAAGATATTTAAATTATGTATATATATATATATAACTCTTAATTTACAATTAGGATTCCTATTTGTAATTGTTTAGATCAATATTTCTAACTTATTTTTTAAAAAATTTTGTCAGAACCTAATTATATATCATAAATTCTTGATTTTGCAACTTTATTGCCATTCTCCCTGTTCTTTATTGTCAATTAATCATTTTGGATCCTTATGGTATCAAGATAAGATTTTTCAATGAGCTTTTGAGAGAGAAAACCTCTAAAAAATTCAGCAACACCAATTGTTTTGAATAAAGCTGGCCTTTCTCGATTTATTAGGCTTGGTGCTGGACCCAAATCTCCAAGTAACTTAGGGCTATAGAATGTGGCTATAGAGATCCTTTCTTTCTCTGAGGTCACTGTTGCTTTATGTTCTATGCTCTTGTATATTCCAGTCGTCACAACCTATATATAATGTCCATAACAACATATAATTAAGAAAAATTGTATAACAACATATAATTAAAAAAAATTGTTCTTTTTTCTTTTTGAACTCATCAAATCTTTGGGCAAAAAAAAAACTGCAAAAGCTTTACTTTAATACATATGGTCATGAATTCCTTTTCCCACCTCATTTTAAGTGCATCATATTGTCAATTACCACTGGATAGTTGTTAATGAAGCTGTTCAATTGACAGCTAAGCAGTAATAATTAACAACTATATATCCAGCAGTAGTAACTGATAACTTCAACAAATAATTTGGGATTTCAGAGTAATTTTATGATTTCACTAGTCTTTGTATTTAAATTCATTATGTTGGGATCTTAGAATGATTTCCCCTTTTTTAAAGTATCATTGCAATATGGGATCCATCTAACTTTAGTCTAAAAGAGGCTAAACTGACTCAGAGCGAGGACGGGGGGGGGGGAGAACTCTTAAATTATTGTAAAAGATTTGATTAATTACCTCCAACATATCACCAATGTCGACCACAAAAGCATTAGGGAGGAAAGTGACTGGAAACCAATTGTCATCCTTTTTCATTTGAAGGCATTGGTTGACTTGATTGACCTGAAGGAGAATAGTGAGGCCTATTGAATTTGAATGAGGACTCAAACCATTCACAAGCTCTGGTTGAGGACACGATGGATAATAGTTCATCCTCATTGATTGCCAACCTTCTTCAAATAGATCTCTCATTTCATTTTCCTCCATCCCTAGTGCTTCCACCATTGCATCAAGTATCTTCAATGATAGCTTTCTCATTTCTACACTATAAGCCTCTAAGTCACCCCTGCAAGTATTCACTACATGTCATAAAACTTGAAGAAATACAAGAGTATTGGATATTGTAAAGGAGGAGTGATTAAATTTGTTGTAAATATCAATCATCGTTTAGCCTACATGTCCTTGGGCACGTAGTTTAGTCAATATGCTCTAAACAATATGATTATTCACCACAGAATTGTTCTAAATATCAAATATTGTTTATATTACATGTTCTTGTGTACGTAGTTTAGTCATTATGTTCTAAATAATATGATTATTCACCACGAGACTTAAAACGTAATAGGATTATTTGCATAAAAAAGTCAAATTTATGCATAGATATTAAACTCGCTAATTGTGTCGTGCCTCATCAGTGAAATAACTTACTTATTAACTGCAAGAAATTCATATACGTAAGTTGGAAAGTTGAAAGAGTTTTGGGAGAATATTAGTGAAGGAATTCTAAAAGAATTTAATACTTGACAAGGACTTGCACAGATTGAATACTTGTTAAAATAATAACTTCACTTTGTTAATTATTAATGTTTACTTGTTAGAAGTTCTTGTCAGAAATTAAATTCTTTCAGAGTCCTTCAATGATATTCTCCCAAGAGTTTTTGTATCAAGTTTTAAAGGTTGTGTAATTGTTTGTACATGACTAAAAATTCAAGTTTTGTGCAATTTAGCCTATAATTAAAGTGTAGAGAAAGAACTAAAGGGCACTTGATTTGAGGTCAAGGAAGTCAAATCATATTATCCTAGGGTCTTAGGTTCAAGTCTTAAGATATGCAACCATTTTAAATAAAAATGCCAAAGTCATCCCTGAGCTATCCACAAAGACACCATTAATAATAGTAATTTCATGTAAGGGGGCTTGGATTAGTTTAGATAGATGGTGGTAATAATACTCCCTAGTTTTCCAAGACACGGGCAGTGGAATTAAAAAAAATAAAGTGAACAGAGGGAGGGAGGGAGGGAGGGAGAGGAACTTGAATGGGAGAGGAAGATTGGGGAAGAGGTGGGGCTTTCTCATAGAAGGAGGATGAGTGATGATATAGAACATATCTGCCCAATCAAGCTTTTGCTCCTCGCTGAACACAAATGCTTGACCAAAACCTTCTACGTCATCTACTGTCTGCCAAAATTTCTTCTTCTCCTCCATTGGAAGATTGAAGAATTCTTGGATTCCCTTTCTTACTCCCTCAACTATAGGCTCTTCCACTCCATGATTTATCACCTACATCATCAATATCAATCATAAATAAAATGAATGTCATAATCACAGACATTGGGCTTCATCAATATCTAAAAATTATTAGGATACATTTATTTCAAATAACTCAAAACAATTCTCACGATTTGTGATGTCCCTGAAAAAAATAAATAAATAAATAAATAAATAGTAATAAGAAATATATAATAATTTGTTTAAAATATATTTTATTTATGTTTGAAAACAATAAATAAATAGTAATAAGAAATATATAATAATTTGTTTAAAATATATTTTATTTATGTTTGAAAACAATTATGGTAATAGCGACTGTTGGTAGGGTGGAAGTTTGCATGCTAGTGATTCTTAGGTTCGATTCCCCTTATGCAAATAAATGAGATTTTATTTTTTTCATCTCCTGTGAAATCACCAAAATATCCTCCCTCCCTGTATTTGTTTTCTCTCTCTCTCTTCTCCCTTATTTCAATTTCGGTGGTGCAGAGTAAAGGGAGAAAATTATGGAACTTGGGTGTGCGGTTCTGATCTCCATCTCATCTGCATCTTCGTCTCTTCCTTCTCATTTCCAGCGGTCGCCGGTGGTGTGAATGCCGAAATCCTGCATTGCGAGCTGCAACGTCGTGAGTCCTTGGTCCTTCACTTCACCGTTGGTCTCTGTTTTTTTCTTCACTGTCGGTGCTGTCATATCTTCTTCTACCTCCATTATTCTTTTCGTTCGTGCGTGGGGAGCAAAGGAAGAGCTGGTCTGGTGCTGTGGGAGGACTAACTCGTGGGTTAGAGGCTGAATTATTACTGTCTTCTTCTTCCCCTGTTCAGCTTTAAGTTCCATTTTTCTTCTTCCCTGTGTATGCGCTGTCCGCTCTTGAGGTGAGGAGTTTTGAACTCATTCATTTGTTGGTTCTATTGTGCATGTCAATGGGTGGAAGAATGGAGTTGAAAGCTGAAAAATCTGTCTTCTTTGTGGCTGTACGTTACCGAATATATATAGGTGTAAAAGAGGAAGAAGTTTGATCTAAATGGGATTTTGTAGCTGTCAAGAAAAGGAAAAGAAGAGAGAAAAAGAAGGAAATGAGGTGGTGTGAAATTATAGAATTTTATTGTGTGTTTGCTGCTCTCTATCCTGTTTTAGAGAAGAGAAAATTTTAAATATTAAACTAAAATTCTAGTTTAGTGTTGCTATGTGAGATTTGAAAGATGATGATTTTAATTTCTTTAAGTTAAAATTGAACTGTCCAATGAAGAGAAGGAACTTAGAAAGCCGAATGTTTATTTTGTATACTAGAGAATTGTGAAAAATCACATCAAAGAGGAAGAAGCTTGGCTTGAGCTTGAATAACTAATAAATGACAAGTGTTTGACATAATACCCTATCAGAAGAAGCTTTACTTGGTTTTGCATTTTTGAAAATTTCATTAGTCCTTGTGAAAAATATATTAATATAGAAGTTATTGATTTAAAAATTAACTTGTAAATTTGTAAAAGAATTTGATAATGTGTTTGCATGTAGTTATTTAAATACTTGGAACTTGTATGGGCATTAATGGATTTTGGATATTTTAATTGAATGATTGGAATCAATGCACCTAAGGTGTTGGTGTAAAGTCCAAGAGTAAATTTTATCTCAAATAAGTAGATTGCTTTGACTAAAACAAATTGGTGGAGACTAATGAAATGAATGATAATACTTGGGCTAACTCTAAAACATGAATTTTAGTTTTGAAATTTTAGATGACGGTGGTTGATTCGAAATTGTGTTAAAAAAATTAAAAATCTATTAAAATTTCAATTATTATAACATTATAGGGTGAGTAGAAGAGGAGGATGCTGGAAGGAATTGAAGAAAGAATATTTTAAAAATTTGAAACTCCGATAAGTAAGTAAATAGTATTCTCTTTAATTTATTTTTATTTTTATTTTTAATATATTTTTATTGAAATATTTCACACTTATGAATTACATTAGTTTTGAAACTTTAAAATATTGATGATGGATAGTTAGGTGATGATATTTTGAAGATTTATGAAATTATTTTGTTTAATAAACTCTTGAAATTATTAGTTATTCAGGTAACGCAAGCTTGTACATTATTTATAAAATATTATTTTCAACAAGTCTTAAATTGGAATTTGAAATGGTTCATGCGAGTTGGGTATTAAAATGTAAATTTGTATTTCAAAAGTGATTATTTTTTTCGCATGTTTGAAGTGTGATTTTTAAGAGGACTCTAAATAGAACACTGCTGCTAATAATAGTTCCATTAGCCTATAGCGTTGTGGTTAAGAACTAACTAGTTGTTTCATGGACTTTGTTCTCACGTTTATTATTCGTGGGCTTTGTACTCGTGTTTGTTTCGTGGTTTCGACTACGTTTGGTTACTTACCCTCGTAGACTATGTGTCTGCATTTATTTTGTGGCTTTGGCCGCATTTGGTTATTTACCCTCGTGGATTGTGTGTCCACGTTTGTTTTTGTGACATAAGTCGCATTTGGTTATTTATCCTCATAGACTGTGTGCCTGCGTTTGTTACTTGTTCTGTTGAGTTTTCAAAATTTTAAATATTGACTAATATGTGTTTTTAAGATTTCCATGGTTTTGATTAGTAAATATATTACTTTGATTGGTGTGTGAATAAATTGTTTTCTTTAAGCACGATAAAATTAATTGTTTCTAATTTACTCTTATTTTATGGTTATGATTATGATTTACAAATTTATAAGTTTATTATGTTGAATTATCATCTTTTCAATTAGTTTACACTAATATTTAAGTTTATTATTTTAATTCTTTTAAATTCTACGTTGAGAATGCTATTCACTGAAAAGAATTTATTTTGATCTTAGATTTATTAGCTGACATTGATCCCTCCACCAACCTCTGAAGGGCAATACATCTATATTGGGTGAAAATTTTGTTTGGTACTGTTACTTTTTTTTATGTTAATATTTAAGCTTTATGTATTTTGATTTAAAAGAAAGATTAGTTGCTCCGCATAGATTGTTGATAGACTTTATTTTGGTTTGTATACTAGTTGCTGACTAGAAGGAGCTATGCTTATGATTTATACTATAATTTGTAAAATTTTTCTGTTGTAGAATTTTCAAAAATCTAGTTACAGGGAGATTTTGCTAAAATTTCTAGAAAAACATTGAAACTTTTTTTATACAATTAGTATCAAATTATTATAACTTTCATATAATTTGATTAATTTTTTTCTTTCTTTTCTAAAATGGAATAAATTTTAATTATGAGGTTTACGGGGAATGTGTGAAAGTGGTTCGCACCTGTGCCGGTCACCTTCTATTTTTGGAGTGTGACACGATCAAAACAATATTATCCCCTCCAAAAATTTAAGATTTAGTGCTTTCAAAGTATTATATAATAATCTTTGATAACTATGTGCATTTGACTAAATTAAATGGTTACACACACACAGAGAGACATAACAGGACCTGAAAGAAGCCCCAATCTTGGCATGCAAGGTGGAGCTTTTGAAGCTCAGAGGACTTGAAATTTGGAGAAGATAACTTAGAGAGGTCAATTATGGGAAAATGAAGAGAAGAAGAATCTGTGTTGGGTAGGAATAATAAAGAATCATAATCTTCATGATGATCATGGCGAACATATCTGTCAGGAACTTTTAAGGACTCCTTTGCTACCAATTCCAGAACTGAATGTACAAGAAGTGACCTTCCTAACTTCACTGGTTTTTCCCATTCCATGTCTCACTCCAACACTCACAAGTAAACTTGCTTATTGCTTTCTCATTTCCTTCTTTCTTTAAACAGGCCAGTGTGTGTGTGTCGCTGTCTTGTGAGTTAAGAGTTGCTAGAATTCCCTGGTTAATAAAATTGGATTATCCCATAAATTTAACTTTTAAAGCTCAAACGCAAGGTTTCATGTGAGCAACGCTTGTTGGTCAAAACATGTGTATAATAAAAATATGATAACTAGAAATTTTGTTCTTTATAGCTCCAATATATATCGTTATATCTTTCAGTGTTTCAAAAAAAAAATTTATATATATTCAGTTTTTATGAAACTTCGCAACTTATTTTTATGAAATTTTGGGCCTATTTGTTTAAGATTAAAAATAAATAATTTTTAAATAGTTTAAAGATTTTATAAAAAATAGATATTATTTTATATTTAGTTACAATCATTAAAAAAAGTGATTGTTATTTAATTATTTTTAAATTCTATGATATCTTTGTTGATTTCTGTTTTATAAAAATAATTTATCATTTAATTATTTTAAAATTTTATGATATCTTCATGTATATCTCATTTTTACAATATTCTGTCTCATCCACCAAAAATTATTTTTAAAAACTATTTAAAGTAGAGCTTCTTAAAATAATAAAAACTCTTTTTTTTTCATTTTACATTTTGATTGTTTTAAAAATTTAAAAAAAAATTAAAAACTTAAAATAACATACTGGGTTATGATCATTATTAGACCATTGTGAAAATCCTTATTTTCATATAACTGTTCATATATCTCATAATAATGTTCACATAAATATTCATAATAATTTTACACTTCAAGTGTTTGGACTACAAGTCCATGATTTTCATATATTTAAATGTAATTCTACTCATATTGCGTCATTTTTCCTTTTTTTTATTTGGCCAATCATCTTTCCATCTACTTTCCACAACATATTTGTGTATAAGATCCTCATTTGATTACATCATATTATAATCAAAATTGTTGTTGATAACTTTATGTTTTTGGTTCCATTTTTCTAATTGTGGCATAAACATTTTGAAATCCTTTTATTGGTTTCAAGTACCTAAACCTCTTCTGAGGTTTTCATAATCAATTATGTCTTAACCTTCTTCTAGAGTGTCTGCCTCCTCAGTATGATCATTTTAATTATATGCTCCTCTTTTTCAAGATATCTTTGAAACTAGTTAACTTTTCATGCTTCAGGCACGTCTTATTT